ATTTATGCCCCCTCTCCCCATTTACCATCTATGCATTGTTTCCAGAGATTTTCTCTGTATTTTTAATTTGTTTTCCTTATTTGCTCTGTAGCATCTAGCAACCAAGTATGCTTTATCAAGTATGTCTTTTGTTTTGTAATAAAAAATCACTTTAAGGTGATGATTTAATTCTTCTGTCCTGGAAGGTACAAGGAGGTCTGTCTGTCTGTGTGTATCTGCATGTCTTAGACTGGGGGCGAAGGGGTCAGCTACTAGAGATTGCAGTTTGTTTTTTTCTTTTCTTTTTACAAGCTCTCTTGTGGCAGAAGAGCTTGGGGTATCCTGGAGGTGGTTTCAAGTGTTAGCCCCAGTTTTAGGGATAAAAATTATTTGATGGTGGCAGCAACCCCCCAAAATCTGTGTACTGTGATTCTTGGGGAAGTTTTTGTGACCAGTGCCTGTAGTGGCATGGTATATTGAAAGTCTTTGTAGGCCACCTCCTTCTGCACTTTGAGTGCCAGAGTGGGGCACAGCCCTCACATGGGGCATGTCATATACTTGATGAAAATATACTTATAATATGAATGTGTCAGAACAGAGAGATGCTTTATGCTAGATGACTTGTGTACTATATTGTCGGAAAGGTTACTATCTACTGAATACGATTGTCACATTTGTATACATACATCATCTTTGTAGATGAAGTTAGGAATATTGCGTATCTGTAATTTCATATTTGCTGCTTTGGGACATTCCCACTGCTGACACTTCAAAGGCGTGAGTCAACCTGTGAAGTATAGGGACAGGGGCCTTGCAGAGACATGTGACCATGTCACATGATGCTGGAACCCATCTTGAATTCTGTATTTTTCCATGAGAAACTTGGAGTGGGTAAAACCATCAAATAAGGGTGCAAATCCTATTTGAGAGTGGGGAATGAGGTAATTGAGGTTGTCAGTTCTCCCTTACTACCCCATCCAAGAGGACTGCTAGAACCAGCTAAGACTGAACTGGGCAAAGGAACTGGGCAAAGGAACTGGGTCTAGGCTGCAAGGGTGGCTGGCCTGTGAAGAAAATTATTAGAACCACATGTAGGCTGTATCTACATTGGCACCCTGTTCCAGAAAAGGGATGCTAATGAGACCAGTCGGAATTGCAAATGCCGCAGGGGATTTAAATATCCCCCGCGGCATTTGCATGAACATGGCTGCCGCTTTTTTCCGGCTCAGGGCTTTGCCGGAGAAAAGCGCCAGTCCTACCTTCTGGTTTCCTCTGCTCCTCCTTTCTGTGACTTTCTTTTCTTTCTTGCTCCTCTTCCTGCCTTCACTTGTCTCCATTTTTGTTTGGGGTTTTGCCGGAGAAAAGCGCCAGTCTAGACGGGATCTTGCGGAAAATAAGCCCTTTTCCGGAAGATCCCTTATTCCTGGCCTTGAAAGTAGGAATAAGGGATCTTCCGGAAAAGGGCTTATTTTCCGCAAGATCCCGTCTAGACTGGCGCTTTTCTCCGGCAAAACCCCAAACAAAAATGGAGACAAGTGAAGGCAGGAAGAGGAGCAAGAAAGAAAAGAAAGTCACAGAAAGGAGGAGCAGAGGAAACCAGAAGGTAGGAGACACAGAATATGACTGCATATGCTATAGACAGCAGGAAATACCAGATATAGATATATGTGTGAGAGAGAGAGAGAGAAAAGGAAAGGTATAATGTCTCCTGATGGGGCCGTGAGTGTGGGAATGCTGGTCTACTGCCTCCAAAATGTTCTTGTTATGAAAAGCCAATGGAATTGCAAGTGACCTGGCTGTGTATAATTGTGCAGGTCAAGCACAGATCCCCCACCAGCATGATCTCACACCTTATCAGGGAAGACAGGAGAAAATAAGTGATGAAAGCTAGCTAGTGAGCCTTCCCAAAACTTGAGAGCTGAACCCAAGGCATCACATACAATGAGGAGCTGAACAGATTGAATGGAAGCTTAAGGATCCTGCAAGAACAGATCATGACTACATGCTACGTGTCTCCCCACTTCTGCTGATGGGGAAAGAGAGGAATTGTGTACTCACAATATGGGAATTTCTTAGAGGGAAGGAGAGATTAGTTAAACTAGGACAAAGAAGGAGCATTTGGGAAAATGAAATTTGAACAAGTCTTGTACTCTGAGGAAAAGTCCTTCACATAGAGCTCCCTAGTTCACTAGGTATGTTAGGCCTGGCTTTTGTTTCACTGCATCACTTTACAGAACCAAAATATATTACCCCAATACACAACTGCAAAACTGCTCCCATGACAACTCAGCACCCACAGGTCCTCAGCACACAAACTAGTTATAAACAGTCTCCCTCCTCAAACAAGCCTCACTTCACCATGTAGTCACAACTCCCTGGCACTTGCTAACCCTCAGTATACTATTACAATCCACCACCACTCAACAACCAGTGCCTGTGCAGGAGGAAAGCAGGGAGGAAGGGCAGAGTGAGGGCACCTGGCTTCAGCAATTAAAATCTAGGGGTCACATGGGATCCTCCATATAACCTATGAGCCAAAGACTGCTTGTGTGTACACACCGAATAGGACAATGCCTCCTGGCCCTAAGGGTGCATGCATCCAGTTGTATTAACAGGTAGGTCAGTGTGTGGGGTCACTCATTCTGGACATATAAAGATTTGAGCTGGAAAGGTTTGGGTTTACTCTAACACACATGGATCTGAGCATCCTCAATCTATACACTGGGGCACTGTAAGAACATCTGAGGCAAGACACTAACTCACAGACAGGAATGCATGCAACACACAGGCAGTCACAGCAAGACAGTAAGCAACCTCTCAGACTGGAAACTTCTCACTGGAACGCTCCCCCCCCCCCCCCCCCCACTAAATTAGGAACAAGACAACAAGGGAAAGCAACGCTCAAAGCCACTCCACACAAGCCTGTCCACACAAACCCAGGGCGCTCACCCCAACACACAGCCCACTGTGCCAGTGCCAGGTGTGCACAGATGGCCGGGACTCAAGCTTTGATGGCTGCCCCAGGGCTGACTGGATACGGTCGGATACCCCTCAGACAAGCCCCTTCAACCCTCTGCCCCCTCCCGCTCCGCCTGAGCAGTATCTGCCTGCCCCTCTCTGCGGAGCCTGCCCCCAGCCCTCGGCCTCTGGCCACCCCGCCCCGCCTCTCCGCGCACTGCATTGTAGCACCATCTCTGTGCAGCCCCCGCGCCTGACTGTCCCTCCCTGCCCGTGTCAGCCCCCCGCCCAGCGCCACACGCATTTAATTGGCATCGCAGGGAGGAGAGACTGAAAGGCAGCGGAGCCCCCTACCTGAGCCGGCCTCTCGCATCCCCGGCTGCTGAGCGGATGGAGACACGGGGAGTCCAGCTGCTCCCGCAGGCGCTCCCCCCTCGCGCTATCAATTATTCAAGTAGGTTGCAGTGTCCTCTTCCTCTTGCGCGCTCTGCCTCGCCCTCCCCTTCCGCTGCCCCCACCTGCGGGGAGAGGGAGCGAGCGGTGCAGTCACACGCCTCCTTCGGGGGCACAGCCCGGCGGGGCTGTTGCACGGGGAAAGGGGCCCCCTGGGGACTGGCCTGCAAAGCCCGCGCTGGAGCCTGCAGGAATGACAGATCCATGTGCAATGAAAGATGATGTCATGGGATGGCACCTCTAGGGATACGTCCAGGCACCACTGGCAGCTGCAGGCAGGTACAGCACGTCGCGTGCTCCTGCCCGCACCTCCACCCTGCAGAGATGACCCAGTGGGGTTTTTTTGAGAGGGAGGGTGAAGGAGGGAGGGTTTGTCTCTGTACTCCATACAATCATCATCTGATTAGTATCAATTGCAGTGAATTTGATTGAAAACCCAGCTCATTGCAAGCTGTGACCAAGGAACAGAGAGGGACTAACTCTCACAGTTAATACTGTTGCCCTTGTGCCTGATAGATGAAAAGCTCTGTACCCACTTATTTCACTCCCCCATCTAAGCCAGCCACCACCCCCAACACATACATCATAGAGCTGGATTGGAACTACTGCAGTAGTTGGGAAAGGCTCTATATTCCCTTCCCATGAGCCAACCTTCTGACCTTTTCCCCACTGATACAATATGGCTGTGTCTAGACTGGCCAGTTTTTCCGCAAACGCAGCCACTTTTCCGGAAAAACTTGCCAGCTGTCTACACTGGCCGCTTGAATTTCCGCAAAAGCACTGACTTCCTACTGTAAGAAATCAATGCTTCTTGCGGAAATACTATGCTGCTCCCGTTCAGGCAAAAGACCTTTTGCGCAAAAGGGCCAGTGTAGACAGCTCAGATTTGTTTTCCGCAAAAAAACCCCAATCGCGAAAATGGCGATCGGGGCTTTTTTGCAGAAAAGCGCGTCTAGATTGGCACGGACGCTTTTCCGCAAAAAGTGCTTTTGCAGAAAAGCATCCGTGCCAATCTAGACGCTCTTTTCCGAAAATGCTTTTAACGGAAAACTTTTCCGTTAAAAGCATTTCCGGAAAATCATGCCAGTCTAGACGTAGCCTATGGATTACCAAAATCTCACCTTACATCCCTCTGTTTAGGTCAGAACATGCCCTCAGTTTCTACAGGAAGTCCAAGAAATTCCTTTATTACTAAGCTCTGATTTTAAAATGAGGCATGGTCCCACAACGAGGAAGATAATTTGGGGAGCAATTAAATGCTATGCCTCCTCTAAAGCATCTGTGTAAACATGGTGGGAACCCCTTAGGGACCATCCCTGCTCTGATCAAAGATGGAGTGGGTAACTTCATTTGGTCTAAACCAGGGGTCTCCAACCATTTTAAGCACAAGATCTCTTTTTGAATTTAAGTGCAATCCAAGATCTACCTCAGACCGAAATACTCTTGTCCCCACCTCCTTCATGCCTTTTTCTGAGGCCCCACCCCTGCTTACTCTGTCCTCCCTCTTTCTCCCATCCTCCCTCCCTTTCACCAGGCAGGGGCAGAGGGTTGGGGTGCAGGATCTGGTCTTGGGCTAAGGGATTTGGAGTGTGAGAGGGGCTCCGAGATGAGCCTGGGGTAGGGAGTTGGGGTAAAAGCTCTGTAAAGGAGTTGGGGACTAGGGGACTTAGGGCTAGGGCAGGGGCTTTGGGTGTAGGAGGGAGTTTGTGACTGGGGCAGGGGTTTGGGAATCTGGCTCCAGCTGGACACTGCTTACCTCACGTGGCTCCTGGGTGGTGGTGCAGTGGGACTAAGGCAGGCTCACCCCTGTCCTGGCCCTGCACCACTCTCAAAAGCAGCCAGCAAACTCCCTCCATCCCAAACACTGTGCTCCTCAATCCAGTCTGTGGAAATAGAACATAGGGGAAGAGGGGAGCATCCTGACACCAGTGTCCCCTACTCTCCCTGCCCTGCTCTGCACAGCAAGCAAGAGACTCCAGGGCTACGTCTAGACTGGCATGATTTTCTGGAAATGCTTTTAACTGAAAAGTTTTCGTTAACGCAAAAGCACTTTTTCCGGAAAAGCGTCTGTGCCAATCTAGACGCACTTTTCCGCAAAAAAGCCCCAATCACCATTTTCGCGATCGGGGCTTTTTTTGCGGAAAACAAATCTGGGCTGTCTACACTGGCCCTTTTGCACAAAAGTTTTGCGCAAAAGGACTTTTGCCTGAATGGGAGCAGCATAGTATTTCCGCAAGAACACTGACAATCTTACATGAGATCGTCAGTGCTTTTGCGGAAATTCAAGCGGCCAGTGTAGACAGCTGGCAAGTTTTTCCGGAAAAGTGGCTGATTTTCCGGAAAAACTGGCCAGTCTAGACACAGCCCAGGGGAGGGAGGGGGCAGCTCCAAGGCAAAGGGCAGGAGACACACAGCAGTGGGAGGAAGGGCAGCTGAATTGCTGGCACTTGGTAGCCTCTTGGCCACACCAGTCAGGATCACCTGTCAGAGGCTCCGGGATCTACCAGTAGATCCTGACTGGTTGGTGACCACTTGTCGAAACCATTCCTACCAATTGTCTGTCCAAATGATCTAAAAGATCTCCAGTGATGGGTATTTCCCAGCCTCCCTTGGAAGTCTGTTCCAGAGCTTAACTATCCTTATGGCTAGAAAATTTTCCTAATATTTAACCTAAATCTACCTTGCTGTACATTAATCCCATTAGTTCTTGCCTTGACATGAAGAACAACTGATCAACATCTGAACACATTTGAAGCCTATCATCAGGTACCACCCTTTATTATTCCTTTCTTAAGACTCCTAGGCTACGTGTACACCTCAGGCTTTTTACGCAAGAACAAGTGTTCTTGCGCAAAAACTTGCGGAGTGTCTACACTGCACGCACATACTTGCACAAGTAAATTTACAGTAAAGCATCAGAACAGAGGGCTTCTTGTACAAGAGTTATTCCTCTCCCCATTAGGAATAAGTCCTCTTGCACAAGAGCTCTTGTGCAAGAAGGCAGTGTGGACGGGCAACAGGAGTTTCTTGTGCAAGAAACCCCTATGGCTAAAATGGCCATCAGAGTTTTCTTGCGCAAGAGTGCACAAAAGCACATGGCAGCAGACATGCTCTTGTGCAAGACCTTGCAAGAACTCTTGCACAAAACAGTTCTTGCACAAGAAGCCTGCAGTGTAGATGTAGCCCTAGTTATTTTAGTGTTTCTTTTTCTAAACCTTTTATCTTTATTGTTCTCCTTTGGACTCTCTTCAGTTTATCTACACCTTTTCCCAAAGCATAGAACTCTAGCTAAGTCCTCACTAGTACCAAGTAGAACAAGACAACTACCTTCTGTGTCTTATACAGAACACGCTTGTTAATGCACTCTTCAATTATATTACCTTTTTTTCACAGCTGCATCACATTGTTGACTTACATTCAATTTATGATGCACTATAATCACCAGATCTTTATCAGCAGCATTACCATTTTGTATTTATGCATTTGATTTTTTTAAGTGAAGTGCTGCGCACTTATCTTTATTAAATTCATCTTGTTGAATTCTGAGCAATTCTCCAATTTGTCAAGGCCACTTTGAATTCTTATTGGCTACGACTACACTGGCATGATCTTGCGCAAAAACTCTTTAGCACAAGAGTTCTTGCGTCAAAGTAGTTGCGCAAGAGAGCGTCTACACTGGCATGTGCTTTTGCGCAAGAGATGTGCTTTTGCGCAAGAACATCCTTGCCAGTGTAGACGATCTCTACACAGATGGCCATTTTAACCATAGAGCTTTCTTGCACAAGATATTCATGTTGCCTGTCTACACTGTTCTCTTGCACAAGAACAGTTGCACAAAAGGGCTTATTCCTGAGTGGGAGCGTCAGAGTTCTGGTGCAAGAAGCCCTCATTTCATACATTAGAACGTCAGTTTACTTGCGCAAGAACACGCAGCCCGTATAGACAGGCAGCAAGTTTTGCGCAAGAGCGGCCGCTTTTGTCCTCCGAAGTGCTCGCAACCCCTCCCAGTTTGGTATTACCTGCAAAAATTATACGAAAGGCTGAGCTGTGGAACTGACAGCTAGGAAAAAAGCACTTCCTTAATTTGTAAACCCAACACCTGTTTTCCGAAGTTGCTGAGAGATGATAAATATGGAGCTCTGGTGTGTGATTGAGAGTGAGACAATTTTCAAAGGACAGGTGCCCTTTATGACTGATGTAAAGCATATCAGCTTTACATTAGCCTCTTCCGTCTCATTAATGCCAAGTTTGTCACCATTTGAGAGCTCAGCTCTGGGTACAAATTGAAGTTGGGTTTACATGGAGTTTTAAAGATTGGTTCTAAGTCTTCTTGTGCTCCAGATGGGTGAAGTTAGGGTGTGGTGCTGGAGTGAGTCCTCAGAAAGGATTTTTTAGGTGAGCACTAATGTTCAAGGGCAGCTCAGAGGTTTCACTAAGTCTGGAGATGCAATCACTCAAAAACTAGCCTGGCACTAGGTTTCTGCACCCAGCAAAACATAACTCCCATATGCCCCAATGCTCCTTCATAAGGAGAAGCAGGAGAGAGAATGAGAGAGTTTGATATGCTCATGCTAGAAAAGAAAAGTTAGTTAGATTTAGGAATTGGATTTGAGGAGAACTGGAGGAGGGAATAGGAAATTGGCAAGGACATAGGGTGCAGAGGAAAAGGAGATTGGGGTTTTCAGTGTTGCTAACCCTAAGTGCAAGTCAGCAATCAGGCCCCAAAATAATGAGATTTTTTTTTGAAAAAACGCATTATAACTCTTTATTCGCTTTTTCTCTTTTGAGCCTCTAAGGAAGTGGTCACCAACCAGTAGACTGGGATCTACCAGTAGATCTTGGAGCCTCTGACAGATGATCCTGATGGGTTTGGCCAGGACACTATCAAGTGCTGGCACTTCAGTTGCCTCTCCATCTGTCATGCTGTTCCTGCCCTCTACCTTGGAGCTGCCCCCTGGGAGCCTCCTGAATGCTGTGCAGGGTGTGGGAGGAAGAAGGAGGGGGGCTGATGACAGGGTCTCTCCTCCCCCCTCTTCTGTAGCCCATCTCCACACAGCGAGATGGGAATGGAGGGAGCTTGGCAATAGACAAACACGCACTGTCCTTCCCTCTCCTCTCCTGACCCAACACACACATGGGGGGTTGTTACTACTTTTCCTGCTTGCAAAGTGGGTTAGTTTAGGTTTGTGACTGGTCTGTGCCTTTCATACCTTTCGTTTCTCTCTTACGCTTACATTTAATTCTTTGAGCAGTGAGTTCTAAAATGCCAAACCTGTTGTGGCTGGAATCATTATCCCCATGGTAATTGCTGCTCCTGGAAGTGGCTGGCTTGTCCCTGCAGCCCCTGAGAAAGGCAGAGTAGGGTGTCTCCACATGCTGTCCTTGCCTGTGGACACCGCTCCTGTGGTTCTCATTGATCAATAATGGAGAACCATGGCCAGTAAAAGCTGTAGAGTTAGTACATGTATATGAGGGGCAGTACAGGGAGCCACTGCTGTACATGCCAGCTGCTTTCAGGAGTAAGCCTACCTTGGCTCCACTGCTCTATCCCTGGGGTAGCTGTCTGGCTGTTCTCAGGAGAGGTGGGATTTGAGCCCACAGTCCTATCCTCCCCAGGTAAATACCCTATCCCCTAGGCCACTCCAGAATTCACCCTACCTCCTGCAGGTCCCCTATCCTGCCTTCCTAATGCAGGAACCAGCTCCATCCCTGGGGCAGCCTATGTTGGCTGTCTAGCTGCTCCTGGGGCAGGTAGGTAGGTGGGTGGGTGGGTGGGTAGGGAGGGGGGCAGGACTTAAGCCCCCCCAACCCTGCACTCCCCAGGCAAATGCTGTATCCCCTAGTCCACTCAAAAGATAGGGAGTCCCACCTCCCTATCTTCAGAGGGTCTCTTATCCTGTTTTGGCAGGACTTGAGCTGCTGGTGGGGGACAGGACTTGAGCCCCCAGCCCTGAGCTCCCCAGGCAAATACTCTATCCCCCTCTAAAACTCACCCCACCTCCCTACCCTCAGGGCAGCCTCTCCCACAGTCTGAACCCCTTGTCCCAAGACCAGAGCCTGCACCCCAACTCCCTACCCCAGCCTGGTGAAAGTGAATGAGATTCGAGGAGGAAGGGGGATGGAGTGAGCAGGGTGAGGCCTCAGAGAAGGGGAGTGGCCTCAGAGAGGTAAGGAAGGAAGCTGGGCCAGGGTATTTGGGTTTGAGGTAGATCTTACACTGCACTTAAATTGAAAGAGTGATCTTGTGGTTAAAAAGGTTGGAGACCCCTGTTCTAGAACAACTTCCAGTCTGCAATTCTCAGTACAAGACAGCCTTTGATATTCCACTGTCAGACCTACAGACCACATGACTGCACCATCTCAGCTATGCTCTTAGGCTGTGTCTAGACTACATGCCTCTGTCGTCAGAGGCATGTAGATTAGACATATAGGCAAAGTCAAATGAAGCCGCGATTTAAATGATCGCGACTTCATTTAAATGTACAGGCAGTCCCCGGGTTGCGTACAAGATAGGGACTGTAGGTTTGTTCTTAAGTTGAATCTGTATGTAAGTCGGAACTGGCGAACTGGCGTCCAGATTCAGACACTGCTGAAACTGACCTCCAGTTCTGACTTACATACAGAATCAACTTAAGAACCCCAGGCGTCCCCAAGTCAGCTGCTGCTGAAACTGATCAGCAGCTGATTCCAGGAAGCCCG